CCTTCATTGGGCATGATGGCATCTTCATGGGAGGTGGTGGCACCTTCATCGGAGGTGGCATCTTCATGGGACATGGTGGCATCTTCATGGGACGTGATGGCACCTTCATGGGAGGTGGTGGCACCTTCATGGGAGGTAGTTGCCCATCTTTTGGCCATGGTGGCCCGTTTTTTGCCCGTGGTGGCCCATCTTTTGACCATAGTGTCCCACTTTTTGGTCGTGTTGACCCACTTTTTGGTCATATTGACCCACTTTTTGGCCATGATGGCCCATCTTTTGCCCATGTTGACCCACTTTTTCGTCGTGTTGGCCCATCTTTTGGCCATGTTGACCCACTTTTTGGTCGTGTTGACCCACTTTTTGGCCCTGGTGGCCGGTTTTTTGCCCGTGGTGGCCCATCTTTTGGCCATGGTGGCCCGTTGGTCGGCCTTGGAGGCCCCCGGTCCCCCCTGTCCCCGTCCCTCGTCCCCCCGCGCAGCCCGTGATCTACTACCTGGTCAAGTGGTGCTCGCTGCCCTACGAGGACAGCACGTGGGAGCTCAAGGAGGACGTGGACGAGGGCAAGATCGGCGACTTCAAGCGCATCCAGGCCCGGCACCCGGAGCTGAAGCGCGTGGTGAGCGGAGGGCCGCGTCGCGTCCCCGTCCGCGCGGCCCCGTTGCCGCCGTGTCACCTCCGCGTTGTCCCGCAGGCCCGGCCGCAGGCGGGATCCTGGAAGAAGCTGGAGCTGTCGCACGAGTACAAGAACCACAACCAGCTCCGCGAGTACCAGCTGGAGGGCGTCAACTGGTTGCTCTTCAACTGGTACAACAGGCGAGTGCCGGGTGCCACCGAGGCGGCCACGCGCGGGGCGTCCCCGTCCTCAACGCGGCGCCGCCCCCGTGTCCCCGCAGGCAGAACTGCATCCTGGCCGACGAGATGGGCCTGGGCAAGACCATCCAGTCCATCGCGTTCCTGCAGGAGGTCTTCAACGTGGGCATCCGCGGCCCGTTCCTGGTGATCGCGCCGCTCTCCACCATCACCAACTGGGAGCGCGAGTTCAGCACGTGGACCGAGATGAACAGCATCGTCTACCACGGCAGCCTGGCCTCGCGGCAGATGATCCAGCAGTACGAGATGTACTGCAAGGACGCCCGGGTACGGCGGCGGGGTGGTCGGAGACGACGGTTGGGTCCTCCTGGACCAACCGGCGCCGCCTGCGGCGCTCCGGGTCCGTCTGCGGTGCTCGGAGCGGGGATTGGAGATGGTTGGAGTTGCCTTCAAGGCGTTGGGTTGTCCTATGTGATGGGATGTGGAGGTGGTTGGAATTGCCTTCAAGGGGTTGGGTTGTCCTCAGGGCTGGTGGGATCTGGAGGTGGTTGGAGTTGCCTTCAAGCCATTGGGTTGTCCTTCCTGGTGCGATGTGGAGATGGTTGGAGTTGCCTTCAGGCCGTTGGGTTGTCCTATGTGATGGGATCTGGAGGGGGTTGGAGTTGCCTTCAAGGCGCTGGGTTGTTCTATGTGATGGGATCTGGAGATGGTTGGAGTTGCCTTCAGGCCATTGGGTTGTCCTCCCTGATGGGATGTGGAGATGGTTGGAGTTGCCTTCAAGCCGTTGGGTTGTCCTTCCTGATGGGATGTTGGAGTTGCCTTCAAACCGTTGGGTTGTCCGCAGGGCCGGCTGGTCCCCGGCGCCTACAAGTTCGACGCGCTCATCACCACCTTCGAGATGATCCTGTCGGACTGCCCGGAGCTGCGGGAGATCGAGTGGCGCTGCGTGATCATCGACGAGGCCCACCGCCTCAAGAACCGCAACTGCAAGCTCCTCGACAGCCTCAAGCACATGGACCTGGTGGGCGCCGAGGCCGCGGCCTCCGCGGGTCCCCGCTCGCGGGCGCCGCGTTGACGGCGCGGCCTCTCTCCCGGTGGCAGGAGCACAAGGTCCTCCTGACGGGCACCCCGCTGCAGAACACGGTGGAGGAGCTTTTCAGCCTCCTGCACTTCCTGGAGCCTTCGCAGTTCCCCTCGGAGGCCGAGTTCCTCACGGCCTTCGGGGACCTCAAGCGGGGGGGGAAAAAGAGCCGCCACCGACGGCCCTTTCCTGTCCCCGTCCCCGGGCTCCGTGTCCCCTCGTCCCGCGTCCAGGTGCAGAAGCTCCAGGCCATCCTCAAGCCCATGATGCTGCGGCGCCTCAAGGAGGACGTGGAGAAGAACCTGGCGCCCAAGCAGGAGACCATCATCGAGGTGGAGCTCACCAACATCCAGAAGAAGTACTACCGCGCCATCCTGGAGAAGAACTTCTCCTTCCTGTCCAAGGGCGCCGGCCACACCAACATGCCCAACCTGCTCAACACCATGATGGAGCTGCGCAAGTGCTGCAACCACCCCTACCTCATCAACGGTGAGGGGGGCGCCATGGGGGCCCTGCCGTTGGGTGGTGGAGGCCGCGCGGCCTCCTCGAGGGGCGGGAGGAGGGTCTCCAAGCTCACCAGGGGTGGCTTGAGGGGCTTCTCAATGAGTGACACGTCAAGGGCTCCTTTCCTCAATGAGTGACGCGTTGAGGGGCTCCTTGATGAGACGACGCGTTGAGGGCTCCTCAATGAGTGACGTGTTGAGGGGCTCCTCAATGAGGTGACACATTGAGGGGCTCCTCAATGAGTGGCGCATTGAGGAGTTCCTCTATGAGGTGACGCGTTGAGGAGTTCCTCTATGAGGTGATGCGTTGAGGAGCTCCTCAATGAGGTGACGCGTTGAGGTCCTCAATGAGGTGACATGTTGAGGGGCTGCTCAATGAAGTGACAAGTTGAGGAGCTCCTCATTGAGGGGACACATTGAGGAGGTTCTCAATGAGGTGACATGTTGAGGGGCTGCTCAATGAAGTGACAAGTTGACGAGCTCCTCAATGAGTGATGTGTTGAGGAGCTCCTCATTGAGGTGACACATTGAGGAGGTTCTCAATGAGGTGACATGTTGAGGGGCTGCTCAATGAAGTGACAAGTTGAGGAGCTCCTCAATGAGCTGACACGTTGAGGGCTCCTCAGTGAGTGACACGTTGAGGGGCTCCTCAGTGAGGTGACACATTGAGGAGGTCCTCAATGAGGTGACAAGTTGAGGGGCTCCTCAATGAGTGACGTGTTGAGGAGCACCTCAATGAGGTGACATGTTGAGGAGCTCCTCAATGAGTGATGTGTTGAGGAGCTCCTCAATGAGGTGACACATTGAGGAGGTCCTCAATGAGTTGACCAGTTGAGGAGCTCCTCAGTGAGGTGACGCGTTGAGGAGCTCCTCAATGACTGATGTGTTGAGGTCCTCAATGAGGTGACACATTGAGGGTCTCCTCAACACCTTGCCACGCCACCGACCGTCCTCTCCGTCCCGCAGGTGCCGAGGAGAAGATCCTGGCCGAGTTCCGCGAGTCGTGCCAGCAGCACCACCACCACGTGCCCGCCGACTTCCACCTGCAGGCCATGGTGCGCTCGGCCGGCAAGCTGGTGCTCCTCGACAAGCTGCTGCCCAAGCTCAAGGCCGGCGGCCACAAGGTGCTCGTCTTCTCCCAGATGGTCCGCTGCCTTGACATCCTGGAGGACTACCTCATCCAGAAGAGGTGGGGACGCGCGGTGCGGTTTTGGG